GTCCCAGACCCAGCCAGGCTCCCAGCTGAATGTAGCTCATGAGTGATCTCAGTTATGCCATGTGAAACTGAAGAATGAGTCAGTTGATACAAGTGAGTTCACAGACTAATGAGAAATGATAAATTGCTGCTGTTTTAAGTTACTGCACTTTGGGGTAGTCTAGGAGGCTGTAATAGATAACTGAAATACTTCCCCTCTCTAAAATGTCCATCGTGCCAAAACCCATCTGGAAATACAGATGTCTGGCCCAGAATCCTTGGAGAAAATTTTTTGGCACTGAGAATGTATCCAAAGGACCCCAGAAATGGAATCTGGAGAGGTCTTCTTTTTCTCCTTTTCTGGAAATTAAACTTACTTTCCCGAATGCTGAAAATCAAAAGGAATCCTTAAACTGTGAGGCATAAGAATGTTCCGTTAACTAGCCAGATAAGGACAGACTGTCACACAGTGCCCCACACTCTTCTCTGCTATACCTTTTCTCTTTCTCAATAAAATACACCCACATCAAGGGAGAGCCATAGATTCTTCTGGTCCTCCTTAGACACCAAGAGAGAAAACTCCCTTTAGGTACCTCCCGTTTCATTGCCCAGTCTCCTGTGAGGTGGTCCAGTGTGTGATGGGTTGTATGTCCTTAAAGACTGAAGGGAAAATGTTTCTGGTTAATGCCAGAGATGACTCAGAGGAGTAAAAATTACCATCTTCTGAGCTCATTGAAATAGTAGTTGGTGTGACATCTCAGAATTATTTTGGGTTTGTCCCTGGCTAAAGGCAATATGATCCCTTAGGAGTCTCAGTTGCTTACTGATTCCATAACACTCACTTGGAATGTGTTGTTCCAAGAATTGTCTACATACACCAAGAGATTTATACTCTAAAACACCAAGATCAGCATTTACAATCTCTGCTCTTTCAGCATATGTCACTGAGAAAACCCTAAACTTTGCCAAACAAGTTTTCATTCATGCATTCAACAAATATTTTACTGAATGGCCACCCTGGCTGGGTATCCAGCAGGGTGTTGTATATACAGTGGCCTGGTGGATACTTTGTTTGGGGATATCTAGCATTCATTCCCATGAACCATCCCGCTCCCCCTGCCAAACATCTGCTCCCCTTTGAAAAGTGAACTAAGCAAATTTGTTTTTCTTTTTCTTTCTTTTAGAGTATTATTTCTTTCCTTGCGGATCCATTCTAATGAGGCTTCTGTACCTCCTCAAACCAAGAATGCTCACTGTGATCCAAACCAGGTCAGTTGAATGCTCTCATTGTGAATTTAAAATCAAAACGGATTGATAAAGACTCTGAAAACAAGTTGCGATTTGGGGATTCCCAGAGATGGCTTTTCACTGGAATATTTTCTGTTGTTTCAGAAACAACAGAAAATAGATTTTAGAGCTTCCTTCTTCCTGTTTGTTTCCAAGCACTGTTCTCTGCCCTGACTATAAACTCCGGATGTCCTTCCAACGGAATCCTTTTTTATTAGATTACTCAGACAGATTGCTGTTGCTTGCATCCAAAACACCCGAAATAATATAAGAGATGAATGAAACAGACATGATTCCAGCTTTCAGAGCCTGTCAATTTGGTTGGGTAGACAGACACTAAACAAATAAAAAATATGTCATTATAAATTGTTGTAAAATAAATGAACGGAGTACTATGAAAGAGAATAATAGGGTAATCTAATTGAGATTATGGGGCCACTGGACACCTCAGCTGAGATCTGAAGGATGAGCAGACAAAGAGTGGAGGGAAAGAGTCTTTCTGGCAGAGGGCAGAGAACAAACAAAGGCCCTGAGGCAGGCAGGAAGTCATTGCATTCCAGGAACTAGTGGAGGCTGGAGTCTTCCAAAGGAGTGGCATGAACTGAGGCAGGAGGGGTGGGCTTGGGCCTGAGCATGCAAGTCTGATAGTTTATGGACATAATTTCAATTTGCTTTCAAAACAATAGGAACAAACCATCAGAAAGTTATAAGTCTGGCATAATCTAATTAGATTTTAAAACAGCCCCTCTTGCTACAGTATAAAGAATTGGCTTGCGGGGCAGACATAGAAAGTAATTGAGAGGCCTGGGAAGGATATGATACGGCTTAGGCTAGGGTGGTAGCAAAGGAGAGGAGAAAGCGAAGTCCTATTGGGAGGTAGAGGCATGAGTTGGCAAAACCACTGCTTCAGAGCCGGCCTGTCTTGTGGGCAAGGACACGGTCCTGCTCATTTCTACATCTCATGAAATACCTAATTAACTTGTGCTTCTATAGGATCACGCAATTTACGAAGTGTTTCTGTGTCCAGATCTCACTTGATCCTTGCAGCAATCCGGAGGGGTTGCTGAAAACAGAGTAGCTAAGGCTGGAGGAAGAAGTTAATAGGCAATGGCGGATGCAGTTGGTAATAACCATGCCAGGACTCACATCCTATTTCTGTCATTATAGCTTGCTGCCCAGCTCAGTGTCCACCCCCAGAAATGTTTGCAGATCTGAAAATGAACTGAGATCCTCTCCACTGCTCTCTGGGGTCCATTTGTTCCACCGAACCTGGGCTGTCTAAGATGGTCCTGGAAGCTCATTTGCATCGAGTTCCATTTCTCACCCTGTGGCTTATGTGACCACTGGCAGGCTTTGGCCAGCACACGTTAAAGGCTACATGACCCCTGGGGCTCCTAAAGGGTCATATTGCCTTCAGCCAGGGACAAACCGAAAATATTTCTGAGATGTCACACCCAGTGCTATTTGTCCAAATCATACATTCCTGTCACCTTTTCTCTCACTCTGCCTGGATCTCCTTGAACGTTCTCTCAATCATTTCTGTCGTTTTCCCTGGAAAGCCTACTCCCTTCTGGATAAGTATATGGACTGACAGCATCAATATCACTTGACAACTTGTTTGAAATAGAAAGTCTTAGGCCCCACCACAGACCCACTGAAAGAAAATCTGGGGGTGGCCCTGCCATCTGTGCTTTAATAAGCCTGCAATGTGATTTCAACGCAGACAAAAGTTTGGGAAACACCAGCCTAAATCTTCCCAGGAGCATCCTCTCAAGCTTCAGACAGCTGGGCTCAGTTAAAGATGTGCTTTATATGAACCCATGTCAGGGCCTGAAGTGTCTGATGGATCTTACCCAAGCTCTGGATGAAAGATGGTGACAGCTCAAAGCTGAATAATCTCTTTTTTTTTTTTCTTTTTGAGACGGAGTCTCACACTGTCACCCAGGCTGTAGTGCAGTGGCCCAATCTCGGTGCACTGCTATCTCCGCCTCCTGTGTTCAAGCAATTCTCCTGCCTCAGGCTCCCGGGTAGCTGGGACCACAGGTGTGCACTACCACGCCCAGCTAATTTTTTTGTATTTTTGGTAGAGACGTGGTTTTACCATGTTGACCAGGTTGGTCTCCATCTCCTGACCTCTGATCTACCTGCCTCGGCCTCCCAAAGTGCTGGGATTACAGGTGTGAGCCACTGCACCCGGCCAAAGCTGGGGAGTCTCATGAAGCTATGCAGGGTCTTTGCGGGATCATTCTCTGCTGATCTTTAACCCACTGCTTGTGTGGACTGAATCAGATCTTGAAGGAGGAAACCTGGAAGAAGGTATTAAAAGGGAGTTGCCCAGCCTTTCTTGCCTTTGCCCTTTGCATTCATGTCTCTCTTGCCCATCAAACATGAAAACTGTCTAGAGCCAGGTTGGCTCAGGCTAACCGATCCCTTCTTGGAGACAGGGATCAGTCAGATAGGTAAACGATTACAGGTAGCCCTGCTAAGTTCCATAGTGCGGGTGCATATTAGTTTGCTTTACTGCCATAACAACGTACCATAGGCTGAGTGGCTTAAACAACAGAAATTTATTGTCTCACAGTTCTGGAGGCCAGAAGTCCACAATCAAGGTGTAGAAAGGGTTAGTTTCTCCTGAAGCCCCTCTCCTTGGCTTGTGAATGGCCACTTTCTGTCTGTGTCCTCTCCACGTGGTCTTTTTGCTGTGTATATATCCCTGGTGTCTCTTTTTGTGACACCTCTCCTAATCTCTCCTGCTTGTAAAGACACCAGTCATATTGAATTAGGGCCCCCACATATGACTTCATTTAACTTCAATCATCTCTTTAAAGATCTGCAAGTATGTGCTTATGTATTTATTTGGAGACAGGGTCTTGCTCTGTCACCCAGGCCAGAATGCAGTGCTGTGATCACTGCTCCTTGCAGCTTTGACCTCCCAGGCTTAGGGGATTCTCCTCCCTCAGCCTCTCAAGTAGCTGGGACCACACCCGGTTAATTAAAAAAAAAAATTGGTAGAGATGAGGTATCACTATGTTGTCCAGGCTAATCTCAAACTTCTGGGCTCAAGAGATCTTCCCACCTCTGCCTCCCAAAGGGCTGGGATTATAGGCATGAGCCACCGTGCCTAGCCTCTATGCAAGTTTATAATCTATATGAGATATGTATGTGTACATATGTGTGTGTGTATGCGTATATACACATAACATACATACCT